AAATTATTGATATTTTAAATTTAAATATAAATGAACATTTTACTGCGCAAAAACAAAATCGAAAATACGCGATTTTGTTTTTGCGTCACAATATCCAAAAGGAACATACTTAAGTGACGTTTATACGGCTCAGCATTAGGCTGTGGTTAGCTAGGCCGTGATCGGCTGGTCAATGAACGTGACAAAGTAGACAGTTCGTGAACTAATGCCATGCCATGATGGTGAGAGTCTTATGACATGGTTCCTTTTGTGGATCTGCGATGCTTTGAACACCAGTAGACTCCTCACTGTCTGGAGCTGCTTCAAGGAGACCCATGAGCTTACTTTTGTCTTGGCAGACAAGGACAAACCCATCTGGGGAGAAGAGAGATCTTGGCAAACAAGGACAAACCCATCTGGGGAGAAGAGAGATCTTGGCAGACAAGGACAAACCCATCTGGGGAGAAGAGAGATCTTGGCAGACAAGTGAATTCATACAAGTCAATCGCCTCTTGTAGATTAACTTCATCTCAGGGATCTTGCGATGATTAGCAGTCTAGCAAATAAAGATCTGCCCTGCTTAAGTTCTATAACTTGTGAAGGTAATTTGACGGTTGAAGTTTTGTTTGCTGCTTTCCGTGACAGAAGATTAACCTTGAACACCTTTTCCCAGTTGCTTATTGGACCAACAGTGCGTTGCTTGACAAAATGTTCATAACTTTGTCTTCCAACTTCATATGCACATAGAATGTCATGCCTGACATTTTCTTTTAATACAGTTCCAGTTCCCAAATTTAAAAGAGCACCATTTTCCTGATAAAATGGATTACAGGCAGCAATAACATTGTGGAGCTTTAGTACATCAGCAAATTGACGGCTAACAATAGCAGTAGAGAGCTCATGGTGTTTTGTTATTTTGTAATATTTATAATTTTGATATTTTATGTAATGAACTTAATGTGAGAACCCAAATGGGTGACATTACAAAGGTACTCAAACTATTCAACCAGGAGCGAACTCGTAACAATGGTTTTAAATTAGACAAATTTAGATTTAGGCGGGAAATAGGTAAACACTGGTTTGGAAACAGAGTAGTGGATGAATGGAACAAGTTACCAAATATCATCATTAACTCGAATACGCTGAATAGCTTCAAACATAGGTTGGATGCTCATATGAGCAATAGGGGTTGGGTGTAAACGGGACTGCCCAGTATGGGCCAATAGGCCCGCTGCAGTTTCCTCCATTCTTATGTTCTTATGTTCTTATGAAGATTAGCCAGCCCAGCTTATTTCACTTGAAGAGTAGCCACCTCAGCTTATTTAACCTGAAGATTAGCCACCCCAGCTTATTTCACTTGAAGATTAGCCACCTCAGCTTATTTAACCTGAAGATTAGCCACCCCAGCTTATTTCACTTGAAGATTAGCCACCTCAGCTTATTTAACCTGAAGATTAGCCACCTCAGCTTATTTCACTTGAAGATTAGCCACCCCAGCTTATTTCACTTGAAGATTAGCCACCTTAGCTTATTTCACCTGAAGATTAGCCACCTCAGCTTATTTAACCTGAAGATTAGCCACCCCAGCTTATTTCACTTGAAGATTAGCCACCTCAGCTTATTTAACCTGAAGATTAGCCACCCCAGTTTTATGTATGTATGTATACGGCCATGATCGAGTGCGTGATAATAATAAACAATGCGGCAATGCTCAACCCTAGCCACCTCCTTATCATGGGGGACTTTAACTATGGCGACATCGACTGGAGAAACGAGTTCACCCCAAATGACTTGAATAACCCTGCTATTCTTTTTGTAGAAACTCTGAGAGATAATTTTATGTTCCAACATGTTAGAGACCCGACACATTACAGAGGGGAGCAAACACCCAAGCCACTAGACCTCATCATAACAAACGAGGAGGGTATGGTGGCCAAACTGGAACACCTTGCCCCAGTTGGCACCAGTCACCATACAGTGTTGTCATTCACATATAACTGTTACCTAGTTCAAGATAAGGCCAGGTCAAGGTGCAAATATTACAAGGGAAATTACAACGGGATGAGAGAAGAGATGAGGGGTATCCACTGGCCTGACTCATTAAGGCACAAGAACGCAGACACTATGATGAATATCATAACTAGTAAAGTGACCCATTTGATCGATAAATACATACCCAAGACCAAACCCAGTGCCTCTAGGAATACGAGGGGATCCCTACACATGAACCACGCGGCGGTCGACAGAGTTAAGAAGGGCTGAAAAGGAGTTCCAGAGGCTGGTTGCAAGCGAGGTCAAGTCAAACCCAAAGGCGTTTTACCGCTTTGCAAAGTCGAAATTAACAACGCAAGTACTGTACAGTAGGAGTATCAGACCTGAGGCTTGAAGATGGTAGTTACGCAGATTCTGACCAGGATAAAGCTGAGGCATTGAACAGTTTCTTTTCCTCGGTGTTCACAAGAGAGGATGCAACTAACCTTCCTGCGTTTGAGGACAGACGGTTCGACACAGCACTGACCCACATTGTGTTCACAGAAGAAGGTATTAGAAATAAACTGTCAAAGCTAAAGGTCCATAAGAGTCCCGGCCTTGACATGATGCATCCTAGAGTGCTAAGAGAGTTGTGCAACGAGCTTGCAGAGCCCCTGAAGATCCTGTTTTGTAAATGCCTGGATGAACAAATGGTCCCCAGTGATTGGAAAGTGGCTTATGTGAGTCCTATCTTCAAGAAGGTCGATCGTCACTCCACGAACAGCTATAGACCGGTGAGCCTGACCAGCATAATATGTAAAGTACTTGAGAGTATTATCAGAGATGCCGCGATGGAACATCTACTACGAAACAACCTTGTAAAGGATTGCCAACACGGTTTTATGCCGGGGCGCTCTTGCTTAACACAATTGCTCAAGGTATTGGATATTTGGACCCATATTCTGGAACGGGGTGGTAATATCGACAATATATACCTAGATTTTGCCAAGACTTTCGACAGTGTATCCCACGAAAGGCTGAAAATCAAACTGGAAGGGTACGGAATTCGGGGAAATGTCCTAACATGGAAAGAAGACTTTCTACATGACAGCAAGCAGTGTGTGGTGATTAATGGCACGAAATCATCATCTGTACCTGTAACAAGTTCGGTACCACAGGGCAGTGTATTGGGCCCGCTGTTGTTTGTTTGTTTCATAAATGACATGCCTGACGTTGTACACTCCTCCATACAAATGTTTGCCGATGACGCCAAGTTATTTCGGGAAATCAAGTATCATGCGGACTGTGAAGAGCTGCAGAAGGATCTCTGTGAGCTCCAAGAATGGTCGAAGAAATGGCTGCTGAGATTCAATGTCACGAAGTGTAAGAGGATGCACCTGGGGCGTACCAACGGTAAGGAGGCGTATCATATGTCCCAACGGGATGAAGAAACTCCACTATTTGAGACTGAATGTGAGAAGGACCTAGGTGTGTATGTTGACAATGAGCTGAAGTTCTCGGGCTATTGCGAGAAGAAGGTAAATCAGGCAAATAAATTATTGGGTCTTATAAGAAGGTCGTTTAGATATCTAGACGGTCCGTCCCTCGTAACGAACCTTCAGGAGTGAAGTGCTTCCCCATCTGGAGTACTGTCACCCCGTCTGGTCCCCGAGATATGCTAGGGACTGTCAGTTGGTTGAAAATGTTCAAAGGAGGGCAACCAGACTGGAGCCTGCACTTCGGCACCTCAGCTACCCTGAGAGATTGGAGTGCCTGAACTTGCCTAGCTTATACTACAGACGGGCAAGGGGCGACCTAATTGAGGTGTATAAGCATCTCAAGGGGCACTACTCAGTCGAGTATTTTTACTTGGAGCTGGCGGACACTCGCCCCTCAAGGGGTCACAGCTCAAGATTGAAGAAGCCGAAAAGTCGAGAAAACTGTGAGAGTAAGCTTTTTCGGAGTGAGGGTTGTAAGCTCTTGGAACAATTTACCAGAGAGTGTTGTGACGGCACCGAGTGTACGCTCTTTCAAGATCAGACTTGACCAACACTGGAGCAGGTTCAGGTACATTCAGGAGCCGGTGCATGCCCAGTACTTGCCAACAGTGCGTAACAGAGATGTGACCGATCGCCCAAGCGGTTAACGAGCCGATCAGTGGTGAAGAGGATAAAAGAATAATGGTTCATAATCACTGTTACGTTTATTAAGCGTTATACAAAAAGTTTTATATTAGGTGATTTACCTTCGTTGCCACAATGTTGTGCCAACATTAGACACAAACCATCTCATCGTTATACAACTTTTTAGAAACGTTGCAATTACGTTATGTTAGCTGGGGTGTCGATAGGTTCATCAGCTTCTCTAAGACCGTATCGATGTATGCGTTAGTAAAATCAACTGGGAAAGCGTTAAATATGTTGATCTTCAGTAATGCTCGAACACATAAATGCACTGCAACAACAAGAACAACAACACAACAGTGAGTGTCGTGGCGTGCCTGCATCACCACCTTATAAGCCCGGGAGACCATAACATCTCAAGGAGAGAGAGGTGGAGCAGGAACCGCTACCACTCGCTGCTATTTGTTTCCAACTGTCATAATCTGGTGTTGGGTATAATCTCATAGGTCCTCGTGATGCTGGTGACCCGGAAGATTCCGTGGGACTCAGTATTTTGCAATCTTTGGCAGGTAAATTACATTGTTTTGTCCACGTCCAAAAAAAGGCAGGCGATCTTCACCCTACTTTCCCTTTCGCTCCAGTCGTGGATGGGTCATCGAGTCTCCACAAATGAAAGTGAAGCACTCTTATATAATTTAATCTTGTAAATATGTATATCTGTATAAATAAATCTGATAAAAAAAATCGTATTAATCATAAAATAAATATACCACAGATAACACAGTTCATTTAATAAGAGTGAAAAAGTAAATCTGAAGGAGGCTCCTGTAGTGGTAGTTCTGGGCGCCACCAACAGATGGGAGCTGTACGCCTGGGCTGAGCGTCTACTGCTGCCTCGTCCGTAGCTCAAGATTAGTTGCACCCGGGCGGCCGAGGTGACAAGGGTTGGTTACTATCATGGTGTGTGTGCGTGCGCGCGTGTGCCTGTGACTGGAAACACACGAACAACGACTATATATTTAAAATTATAACGTTGGATTTAAGACAAACCACAACAACTTACCTGTCAGCAGATGGAAACATTGTTAGCAAAAATCAAGCCCCCGATATATTGAAGCATCTCCTTGTTAACGCTGAGGTAAGATAAAGTTATTGGTGGTCACTAGCACAAAGAGGCACTACAAACAGCTGACACTCACAACGACTTGATCATCTCCCTGGCTTTGAGATTAGTAAAGTGTATGATAGTAAAGTGTATGATAGTAAAGTGTATGATAGTAGAGTGTATGATAGTAAAGTGTATGATAGTAAAGTGTATGATAGTAAAGTGTATGATAGTAGAGTGTATGATAGTAGAGTGTATGATAGTAGAGTGTATGATAGTAAAGTGTATGATAGTAAAGTGTATGATAGTAAAGTGTATGATAGTAGAGTGTATGATAGTAAAGTGTATGATAGTAAAGTGTATGATAGTAAAGTGTATGATAGTAGAGTGTATGATAGTAAAGTGTATGAGTGTATGATAGTAAAGTGTATGATAGTAAAGTGTATGATAGTAGAGTGTATGATAGTAAAGTGTATGATAGTAGAGTGTATGATAGTAGAGTGTATGATAGTAAAGTGTATGATAGTAGAGTGTATGATAGTAAAGTGTATGATAGTAAAGTGTATGATAGTAGAGTGTATGATAGTAAAGTGTATGATAGTAAAGTGTATGATAGTAAAGTGTATGATAGTGAAGTGTATGATAGTAAAGTGTATGATAGTAAAGTGTATGATAGTGAAGTGTATGATAGTAAAGTGTATGATAGTATAGTGTATGATAGTAAAGTGTATGATAGTAAAGTGTATGATAGTAGAGTGTATGATAGTAAAGTGTATGATAGTAGAGTGTATGATAGTAAAGTGTATGATAGTAAAGTGTATGATAGTAAAGTGTATGATAGTAAAGTGTATGATAGTAGAGTGTATGATAGTAGAGTGTATGACAGTAAAGTGTATGATAGTAGAGTGTATGATAGTAAAGTGTATGATAGTAAAGTGTATGATAGTAGAGTGTATGATAGTAAAGTGTATGATAGTAAAGTGTATGATAGTAAAGTGTGATAAAAGAGTTAGTAGAGTGTATGATAGGAGTGTATGATAGTAGAGTGTATGATAGTAAAGGTATGATAGTAAAGTGTATGATAGGTGGAAGTGTGATAGTAAAGTGTGTGGATAGTAGAGTGTATGATAGTAGAGTGTATGATAGTAAAGTAAAGATAGTAAAGTGTATGATAGTAAAGTGTATGATAGTAAAGTGTATGATAGTAGAGTGTATGATAGTAGAGTGTATGATAGTAAAGTGTATGATAGTAAAGTGTATGATAGTAAGTGTATGATAGTAGAGTGTATGATAGTAAAGTGTATGATAGTAAAGTGTATGATAGTAAAGTGTATGATAGTAAAGTGTATGATAGTAGAGTGTATGATAGTAAAGTGTATGATAGTAAAGTGTATGATAGTAAAGTGTATGATAGTAAAGTGTATGATAGTAAAGTGTATGATAGTAAAGTGTATGATAGTAAAGTGTATGATAGAGGTATGATAAAAGGATGATATGAAGTGTATGATAGTAAAGTGTATGATAGTAAAGTGTATGATAGTAAGAGTGTATGATAGTAAAGTGTATGATAGTAAAGTGTATGATAGTAGAAGTGTATGATAGTAAAGTGTATGATAGTAGAGTGTATGATAGTAAAAGTGTATGATAGTAAGTGTATGATAGTAGAGGTGTATGAGTAGAGTGTATGATAGTAAAGTGTATGATAGTAGGTGTATGATAGTAAGTGTATGATAATAAAGTGTATGATAGTAAAAGTGTATGATAGTAAAAGTGTATGATAGTAAAGTGTATGATAGTAGAGTGTATGATAGTAAGTGTATGATAGTAGAGTGTGTGATAGTAAAGTGTATGTAGTAAAAAGTGTATGATAGTAAAGGTGTATGATAGTAAGTGTATGATAGTAAAGTGTATGATAGTAAGTGTATGATAGTAAAAGTGTATGATAGTAGAGTGTATGATAGTAAATGTATGATAGTAGAGTGTATGATAGTAGAGTGTATGATAGTGGGGTGTATGATAGTAAAGAGTGTATGATAGTAAAGTGTATGATAGTAAAGTGTATGATAGAGAGTGTGTGATAGTAGAGTGTATGATAGTAGGTGTGATAGAGTGTATGATAGTAGAGTGTATGATAGTAAAGTGTATGATAGTGAGTGTATGATAGTAAGTGTATGATAGTAGTGTGTATGATAGTAAGTGTATGATAGTAGAGTGTATGATAGTAAAGTGTATGATAGTAAAGTGTGGTAAAGTGTATGATAGTAAAGTGTATGATAGTAGAGTGTATGATAGTAAAGTGTATGATAGTAAAGTGTATGATAGTAAAGTGTATGATAGTAAAGTGTATGATAGTAAAGTGTATGATAGTAGAGTGTATGATAGTAGAGTGTATGATAGTAAAGTGTATGATAGTAAAGTGTATGATAGTAAAGTGTATGATAGTAAAGTGTATGATAGTAAAGTGTATGATAGTAAAGTGTATGATAGTAAAGTGTATGATAGTAAAGTGTATGATAGTAGAGTGTATGATAGTAGAGTGTATGATAGTAAAGTGTATGATAGTAAAGTGTATGATAGTAAAGTGTATGATAGTAGAGTGTATGATAGTAAAGTGTATGATAGTAAAGTGTATGATAGTAAAGTGTATGATAGTAGAGTGTATGATAGTAAAGTGTATGATAGTAAAGGTATGATAGTAAAGGTGATAGGAAGTGTACGATAGCAGAGGCATGATAAAGAGAGTGTATGATAGTAGAGGCATGATAGTAAAGGCATGATAGCAAAGGTATGATAGTAAAGTGTGTGATAGTAAAGGGTGATAGAAAGAGGCAGTATGATAAAGAGTGTATGATAGTAAAGTGTATGATAGTAAAGTGTATGATAGTAGAGTGTATGATAGTAAAGTGTATGATAGTAGAGTGTATGATAGTAGAGTGTATGATAGTAGAGTGTATGATAGTAAAGTGTATGATAGTAAAGTGTATGATAGTAGAGTGTATGATAGTAAAGTGTATGATAGTAGAGTGTATGATAGTAAAGTGTATGATAGTAAAGTGTATGATAGTAAAGTGTATGATAGTAAAGTGTATGATAGTAAAGTGTATGATAGTAAAGTGTATGATAGTAAAGTGTATGATAGTAAAGTGTATGATAGTAAAGTGTATGACAGTGTTTGTAATTAGTGCAGTTTGTGTTGTAATGACCATTGCTTGATAGTTGAAACTGTAGTATAGAACAACTAGAGTTATTTCGCTGATAATTATAATCTATAGTGCTTCAGACTTTTGTGTGGCAGTTCTCATTAACACTACTTACAAATTTATAATCAATATGTTTAGGGAATATGTTTTTATTTAATACTTTTATAATATCTAATTGATTTAGGTAACCCAGAAATATACAGTATATACCTTAAATCAGGGTATGACTCAATGAATCTTATAGCTCGTAAAATATAGTTGTGACCTACGTAATTATACTGTAGATTGTTAGGAAGGGCGTGGTTTATTGGATTTTATTATTTTATGATAACAATATGAAAAGTTGTTGCTACTTCTGTCAGTTCTCTAAATGCTACCCCTGACTGACTGCCTGGTTAACTGACTGACTGATAATGTTACTGACTGACTGAGACCATTTAGGATCCGCCCTTTCTAACTAATCACCACACACCAGTACTCTCCTAATGTAAGATTTAAACCAGTATTAAAGCACCAAGAGTAACAATAATAATAATAAAAATAATAATAATAATAATAATAATAATAATAATAATAATAAAACTACACATAATCGAGAGAAAACTCCCCTTGTGTGAAAAATAAAACATTATCAGTCAGGTCAGGAGAGGCAGACTCTGTATCAAATAAAAGCAAAAAAAAAAAACACATTGTGTTCTGTTTTCTTAATCTTAAATTATTCTTGGTGACAGTTTTATTTCTCAAGAAGAAAGGTTTGAGACATTGTTGTACCTCTGTCAGGGGTCGAGGCAAGGGTACGATAACGCCGACTTAGGCGGTGTGTCCACTCCCACTTAGTCGGTGTGGCCACGCCCTTGTAAACGAGTGTGTTGTTGTCAGGCGTGTTATTAACCTACTGGGTGTACGTACACGTGTTTGTGTTTGTTATCAAGGGTGTACTTAGGTGGGTGTGTTTTATTCCGGATTTACAATATCTGGTGGGGGTGTATGAATCTGGGTGTACATTGTGTGCGGGGGTGGGTGGGTGTTGAAGTGTGCATCATTTTACAGAGTTCCTGAATCATCAAATATGTGCGTAAATGATAGAATAAGTACATTAAAACATTAATTAGATGTATTGATGTGTGTTTAACCCTGTGTGCACATGTGCGTTTGTGTTAGGTGAGGTGCACATGTGTTAGGTGGTGACTCCATATGTGTATAACGCTAGGTAAACTTCGCTTCACTCCCCATATATATTAATTTAGCAGGTTTGACATGACCTGTGTTGCTCAGTGATGAATACTGTTTTTCCTCTGTTGTTTTTCGATTAAATATTTTGGTTTTCAATAGTTTGTCACAATGAATTTTTTAAATGTCATGCAAATAAGTATTAAATACGAATTATTTACTCATTGATTATTATTATTATTATTATTATTATTAAAGTAGAAAAACACCACAATTAAAACTTCATAAATTTTTTTATAGTGAAAAACTCGAGATATTGAGAATATTTACTATAACATAGCAATCCTTTGTTTAGTCTGTCATTGGAACAGTTCAGTAGATTTCATATTATTTAGCCTCAGTTATTCACTTTCATAAGATACCAAAATACCTGAGTTCAAGATTTTTCTCACCCTGACTTAGCAAAAAAATAAAAATAAATAAATAAAAGATACAGCGGCAAGCATATCACCAGAGCGAGGTAGTAATGACGCTCTGACGTCATGAAAGCTGTACCCCTGAGCGTTCGACATTGAACCCGAGACGTGACTTCTGGCGCCTTTCCCTCGCAAATCATTCCATAATCATAATGTTTATCGGGTCAGGGTAATTTTATTGTCGTCG